TTGAGGAGAAGTATTATTTAGTCTTTTTATTTTGTAAATTTGTTAATAATGAATAGATTTTGTACTCCTTGATCCAGTTAAGGTTTGAATAATACGCAATAATAGCATACAATTCCTTTTAATTTTGAAGAGTATGAAATAAAAGGATAATCTACTAATCCCTGGGACGAAATAAACAATTTCCAGTATTAAAGTACGGCCCCACTGAACGCGATTTGCGATGTGAGCGTTTATGCAGCGATATTGCCCAGAGAATTTTACGATTTTGGCGGGGCCAAAAGCGATTTATCGTAAAACGCGAAGCGTTCTCAGTGTGCAATGTCGTAATTATTTTATAGACTATAGGTTTGATAAAATCGTAAAATCACAAAATGCGTCTAGTAAGGTCGTACCTTTAGAGGTAGTCTTTTTTAAATCGTACGATTTATCGGGTACTCTCGCTTGTTTTAATGCCTTATAAATGATCTTGTCTGACAATTTTTTATGATTTCTAAAATTTTCAATATCATAAAAATCAATATTTGTAAAATCCTAAAAAAATTAATTGCTCAGTTTTGACTTAATATAATTTTAACCCTATAATATTTACACAGACCTCAAAATATTGTCTGCATAATTTTTATATACAATTAGGGTTTAAATTTAATTGTTAAATATATTTATAAAGGTCTTAGGGTCAATAGTGTAATAAAAATGATTGTCTTCCCTTTTCTACGATACGTAATTAAGTAGATGTTACATCAAAATAAGTTGTCTGATATATTTATATTTGGCTAGTTTTGGTTCATAATTTTCGTTCACTTTAGTATGTTTGGATTCTAGTTCTAAATGAGGTTTTTAAAGTTGGTATCTTCTCAAATCCATCTTCTATCAAATTTGAATAACCGTTAAATTATTTTCGATAGACTGATAGAGTTCCAAAACATTCATTTGACACAATAGGATTTCACACAAATTGTTCAACTAACGAGTAACGACTTGTGATCACAATATTTTGTACGATATGATAACATTTTCTAATTTCGTATTTTAATGCTGTCAATATTCTATTAATAGTTAACATTTTTTCGAAAATTTATTTTTTATTTTTAGGTATAATTTTTTAAATTCGGTTATAAACGAATTACAGTAGGGTATCGTTAATCCGAACACAGGCTAATCTGTAAGACGTGGTAATCTGAATGGGCTTGGAAATAGCCGCATCGCTATACTGACACACACGTGACATCTGTATCATAATTCATAATATGTAATATATTATGAACATATTAGCTGGCTATATATAAAAATAATGATTTTGGTTGTATTCATTGTAATCTTCAACAAAGAATTTTATGAATTAATTCTGCAATATGGATAAAGATTTATTTCAAAATTTAAATTGCAAGAAAATTGATTTTTTTTTTTAAAGTCATAACTCATAAGTAATTTGAATACATCGTTAATCCGAATGATTCCTTTCCCCAATCTCGTTCGGATTAATGAGATCTTACTGCAGTTGTTACAACTAATATTGGAAATTTGAACTTAAAAAGCATCTTTAGTTATCTTATATGTAATAATGTAATATAGAATAATTAATTTGTTGAATAAATGTTATCAGCTATGTTACTCAAGCTAATAATTAGGTAATTGAAATATTTATATAATTTAAATTTTCTGTTATTAAATATTATTTTGTTTTCGGTTATTGAAAATAAAAAATTTGATATTTTATTTTTGGGTTTATAGCCAACGACTCCTAAGTGTGTATTTACATTATTCATTTTACTTAATTTGTTTTGTAAAATTTATTGAGTTTGTATATAGTTCAAAACCGGTGGTACACACTCTACAGAATAAAAAAGATTTTAAAACCAATACTGAATTAAAAAATATTATTTATTTTTTTATTTTTCTTACTAAATTTCTCGTTTTGTCCATATATTTAAGAAAATATCTTAATTATGTAAGTTGTATTTTTAGTTTTGATTTTATTATAAAATATTTTGCACAAATAATTGTTCAGCTAATAGGCTTGCACTTTTAGTGATTATAATTATAACTAAGGCTAGGATTTTAATGATTTAAAAAACCTGAAAAACAATAAACAAAAAAACTAAAAAATGATCAAAAATAATAATTCAATAAGAAAATACCTATGACTTCATTAAATGCTCGAAAAAAAAATTATATTAATAAATTAATAAATAATAATTTGTATTTTTAAGTATAAATAAATTCATCTTATGGTATAATGGCCAGCGTTATTTGTACTGAAATTAATAAATTTTGAAATAAAATAATATTGTAAAACTAAAATTTTAAATTTAAAATAAACTTAAATTTAATTGATGAAAATAATACGTAATCGAACATTATTATCCGTTATTTCTCGGTTAGTTCATCAAGTGTATTTTATATTCAAACGATTGGTATTTTGAAATATTAAATATTTTTAGAAAATATGTTTACGATTTTATTTTAATGTTTGTACAATAATTTGAAACGACCATTTAAAAAATCTATTTAAAAATTGATAAAAATATTACACAGATTTCAATAAAGTATAAAAAATGCCAGTAAAATTGAAAAAATGACCTAAAAATGCTGAAAAATGACCTCAAATTAAAAAAAGTACAAAAAAAAAAAAATACAAAAAATACAAAATAAAAACTATTTGAACTTGTAGATGACCAAGTCACTGTTTGTGCTTAAAAGTTGAAAATCTATATCCAGTAAATCTTAAAAAAAAAATGCAAAATCCTATACTATCCTAGCCTTAATTATAACTAACGTTAATCTATTTTTAGTTAACTTAAACTTCAATATTTTTGCCAGTAGTTCCAATATTTAAAAATTATATGTTTTATTAAAATTTTATAACTCGTTTGGAATTTTTTACATTGACGTATTAAATATATATATACGTATTTACTATTTAATAAAGATTTGTAATGGGTTAGTAATTTTATTCAACTGTAAACAGATGACAATTTTAATTGTATTACAATTATTTATAATTATAAATATAGCCATGTATATTATGTGTAAATATGTGTAACATAATATAATAACATGTGTTTGTATTTAAATTGTAATATTAATTCGGGTTAGGTTATTTATAAGTATATTCATAATTTATGTGATCTATTCATATTATATTTTCGAAATATACTACTAAGATAACAAGTTGTTACTATTTCGGTGCTACTATATAGGTATAAATCATTATGTGTTTATCTTTATTGGTTCTATAAAGGTAATTATTTTAATAGAATAATAATGTTTATATTTTGTTGAAACTAAAATTAATATGAAGTTAATTCCTAAATAGTATGTAAACAATTACAATTTACAATATAATAATATAATATAAATATTTTAATGCCTAATTATTTTTCTAAAATGTTTAATTATTATGGGGTTTTACATTTTTGTACGATTTTCTGTACATTTTGTGTAATGTTTTTCTTAGAAAATATTACTTAAGCAATTTAAATTATTATGGACATGTTATAATAGTAATATAATTCTGATTTATCTTAAGTAATATTATATTTTATTATATCGTAATGTGGAATTCGTATAGATGTGTGATTTATAATAATGTTTTATATAAATTACCAATTTTTTCCTAACAAGACGATAATAGTAAATAGTATATTTGATAATTTCTTATCATTTATGTAGTTAAATGTATTTTATAATCTTTAAGAATCTAAATTCTAAGTGAATGATTTAAAGTTTCACAATACATTATCTAATTAGCTAAATTTAATAGTCTTAGAATAATTTTAGTAGGTATATTAGTAGGACTTTTTTAGTTAAAAATGTTTATACAAATTATAATTAATATTTTAGATTCTGAGCAGAAAGAAGAATGTATTAATTTTACAATGATGTGTGTTTTAATTTTTTATTTTTGTACCTAAATATACGCATTTGCCTTAGAAAAAATGCTTCAATTATCAACTTTGAGTAAGATTTCTGGTAGAAAATTAGATGTAATTTGTACTTTTGTAGGTTTAAAGTAGTATTTTTCTCAGTATTTTATTAAATAATTGAGAGAAAAATAGTTACATTTGTTAAAATTTACTTATTTTTTATATTTACAAAATAATTATTTGGTTAACATGGAAAAGCTTAGAGTGCACCTCTTAAAATTATTTTTTATTGTGTAGGTACAGCGGTTATTTGATTTATTATTGAATTCATTTACACTTCCATTTAAGTGACCTGTTCAATGATTAGATACAATTTACACCTACTGTATAGCAGACTGGTTACATAATATTTTGTTACACATTTTATCTATAATTAAAAATTATAGAAAATAAATTATTGGTGAAATTCTATTCAATTAAAACAGAATATTGTTTTATCATTAATATATTTTTGAATTAATAATATTATAATATCTGCTTGTTTTTAATAAACAATAATTTTATTATATAAAAAATTAATTTAAATTAAATACTTTAAAAAAATGTTTACTGGTTTTATGTACTTAGCCAGTTAAAATTGAAATAAAATAAATTATGATAGAATTATTGGAGTATATTATGTAGAGCTATTATTATGTTATTTGGCAATGAGCTCAACATTTGTTTATATTCAAATCTATTTAATTATTTTAAGGAATTGGACCACATAAACATTGGTGAAAAAATATGTTCACAGTGTAGTTTCAGTTCATAAAGACATGTAGTATATATTTTAGATTTCTAAAATAATTTAGTTTTAAAATTAATAATATGTGTTTAAAATAGTGTTAGTTTGAAAGTTGTTGATAATGCAGTTAAGAGGTAAAATGAAATACATTTTAATACATGGTTATGAGAATTGTATTAAGTTGGCTAATTAAATATTAGACAAATAAAATACTTACTATTCATTGTATTTGTTTTATTTTAATCATGTTACTAATTTTAATATTCATTAGAATATATTTTACTAAAATGTAGAAAAAATATCTTTAAATTATATTATTTACTAATATAAGAATTTTTTAATTACAGAAGCCAATGCATCTGAAAGAGAACAGTTACTTATTCAGAAAATGCAACAGTGCTGTGTGTTATTCGACTTTATTTCAGATCCACAATCTGATCTAAAATGGAAAGAAATCAAGCGAGAAACATTACATGAAATGGTAGATTATTTGTCATCTAATCATGGTAGTGTGCTTACTGAAGCTATATACCCTGAAGCTGTTAGAATGGTATGAATTTAAAGCTATACTTAACAAGTATAATATTAATGCATTTATGATTTAATTTTTAAATTTTAGTTTGGAGTAAATCTATTTCGCAGTCTGCCTCCATCAAGCAATCCTAATGGTGCAGAGTTTGATCCAGAGGAAGATGAACCTCTATTAGAAGCAGCCTGGCCTCATTTACAACTAGTATATGAGTTCTTTCTTAGGTTTCTAGAGTCTCAAGACTTTCAGCCCCATATAGCAAAAAACTATATTGATCAGAAATTTGTTCTTCAGGTAATAAATATCAATTAAATTATTTTAAATGAATTCTAACAATTAAAATACTTTTATTTACATGTAGTTGTTAGAGTTATTTGATTCAGAAGATCCACGAGAGAGAGACTTTTTGAAAACTATACTGCATCGCATTTATGGTAAATTTTTAAGTTTGCGAGCGTATATACGAAAACAGATAAACAATATATTTTATAGGTAATAATAAATAGTTAATATTTTTATGTAACTTTGTAATTACATATAAATTTATTTATTTTTTTCTTGTAGTTTTATTTATGAAACAGAGCATCATAATGGCATTGCAGAGCTTTTAGAAATTTTAGGAAGGTATATTAAATTTATATGTTTATCAAATTATGTATTTAATACATTTTTTTTTTTAAATTAGTATTGTCAATGGTTTTGCATTGCCTTTGAAAGAGGAACACAAGGTATTCTTGCTAAAAGTTCTATTGCCGTTACACAAAGTGAAATCTTTATCTGTATATCATCCACAATTGGCATATTGTATTGTACAGTTCCTTGAAAAAGATCCATCTCTTACAGAACCAGTTATCAGAAGTTTGTTAAAATTTTGGCCTAAAACACATTCTCCAAAAGAAGTAAGTATATTATATTGTCATGCATTGAGTAAAAAAATGTAAACAATTACCAAATGTGGTTTGCTATTTTCAGGTTATGTTTCTTAACGAATTAGAAGAAATTTTGGATATAATTGAACCATTGGAATTTCGAAAAGTGCTAAAACCATTAATACATCAATTAGCTAGATGTGTTTCCAGTCAACATTTTCAAGTATGTCATTAATAAAATATTTTATTTTTATTTTTACAAGTGAATTGCAATTAATATGTGAAATATATAGTAAAATATTGTAATAATACAGTGTGTTGTACAATTGTTGCTGTAATTTACTATTTATGTGTGAATATATGTTTTAATGGGGATCAGTAAATATTTTTTTTCAATTATTAAATTGTAAAATTGTAGTATTAGTTAACTTTGTTTAAGTAATCTACTTATGTATGTTTTAACAAATTGATAAAAATTTGTTTTTTTTTTTAAATTTAAAAATATGCTGAGACACATATTTAGTATACAATAGTATATATTAGGGGTGGTCACCAACCTTAACTTTGGGAGCCACAAATTTATAAAGATGATTCGAAGTGAGCCACTTTTTAAAGTAATGTTTATAAAATCAAGACACATTTTTCATTTTAAATCAAATGAAAGAACATTTATTTTTTACACTACACAAAACATTATTATTACTGACTTTATTATTGATATTATTGTTGTTTTATTTACAAAAAGTGCTTTTTCGAGTGTTCATTTTTTCTGTAAGTTTTTGAAATCTGGCTGATAATTTATAAGCACAATTCGTCCAAGTTCACTTAAATGTTCATCAGTTAGTTCAGATTAATATTTAGATTTGATGAATTTAAGCGTTGAGTATAATGATTTACACACATAAGTACTTAGTGCCAAAGATTGAAATAAGTCTCACAGTACACTCTTTTGTTAGGGGGTATTTTTTTTCTGGAACATTCTTCCAAAATTCTAAGTCGAAACACAGTGACAAGTTTTGGCTACACATACTAAAAGCACTGTCATTGCCGCCAAGTCATTGTATACCTAATAACGACCGTAATGATAACTAAACTGGCAACAATAAAAACACTATCTAACAATTTTAACAGAATAATATATATTTATTAATTTTAGTTTATGCTTGGTTCAAGAACTGTTGATTTAAGAGTCACATGCGGTTCGCCGTGAGCCTCGTTGTGGCCACTCCTAGCATACATTTTTGTATTTTTAATTTTTTTTTTTGTTTTGTTTAATTATCTAGATTATTTTATAACCTAGAATCCACCCAGATTAAAGATCCATTTGGTTCCATAAAACTAGACTATTAGTGGGTCATTTTCAACAGTCAAACTTAGTTCAGTTTTTTAGTTCAATTATTCTTCCTAACAAGACATTTTAAAACTATTTTTTTAGAATTGTACATTTTACATCATTTAAAGTAATAAAAATTAAAAAAAAATTAAGACACAAAATAATTATGTAAATAGGTATTTTAAACAATTATAAATTATTTGAATAAAGATATTATAGTCGCTACATCTACTGTTGTCATAGGATCATGCACTTTTTAATCTGAGCTTGTCTGAGATTTTGCTTAGTTGGATTAGTTTATTAGGATATAATCTTTAAATATACTTATATTCACTTAATTCGGGAAAACTTAATATACAATTCTTAATTTGATGAATAAAAGTTTTATTTGATTTTTATTACAGAAATAATATATTGACAAATCTTTGAATCATAAATATTCTTCATTAGATTCATATTAATCTATGTAAAAAACATAATGTCAATTATTATTAAAAAAAAATTGTCAATAATCTGTATTAAACAAAAAAATAAAGAATAAAGGTTAAATAAATTAATAGTTCAATTAATTATGCATATTATCTAATTTAATATTAAAATATAATCAAGTTTTCAGAAGTTTATTAGCTTAAAGAATAAGAATATAAGTAAATACTTATATAAAAACATATAAATTACTATTTTAATTTCTTTATGAATACTAAGTATAATTGGATTTATTTCAATAAAGGTTATTTATATTTTAGGTTGCAGAAAGAGCACTTTACTTTTGGAACAATGAGTACATAATGTCACTGATGTCTGAGAATGTTGACGAGATTTTGCCAATCATGTTTCCAGTGTTATACAAAAATTCTAAAACTCATTGGAATAAGTAATTCACTTTTAAAATTACATCCACAAAATTAAAATTACTTTGATATAGAATAGTATACTGTTTTAAATATTAAATGTTGAAACAATGATACAATGAAAAACTTTTTAAGAAAGGCATGCTTGATTTAGGTACCTTAAATGTCTCTGATTTTGTTTAAAGGTATATTTTTCTTATTTTTTTTTCTTTAACATTTGCTATTCACATAAATATGTGTTAAAAATGTTAAAATACAATTTATATTTATTTTTTAGTCGATTGAAGTGCTTTTGATATTTTTTCTCCTTCTAAACATGTTTATTAAATATATTCATCTAAAATTTTATTTTTGGTTTATTTAATTAATTAAAGGTGTAATACAATTTTAGAAAAATTACATGATTATATTTTACAGATTTTTATAAATATATAAATTGTTGATTAATTTAAAATATTGTATAATTTAAATTGTCCATGTATTAAAAAAATAAAATTAATGTATAATCTTAATTTAATCATTAATGTCAATTAAACCATTTAAACCTTTAATTTAAATGAACTATTTGAATTTAAAAATATTTTCAGGATAAGAAAAATCATTCTAAATATTGTCTTTTGTCCACTTAAAATCTAATATTGTATGAATTAAATTTTTTGACTTGTTGGATTTATATTAGGATTAAAATATTTATAATATATTTATTGATCATTTAAACAAAAAAGTTTTATGTTATAATATGCTACTTACCAATAAAGTTAGAAGTATAAAATACATTTTATTTTTATAATGAATGTCGTGTACTATTGATTATATAATTTAGAAGAACCACAGGTCATGCATTTTTGAACTATTGTAAAAGTATTATAAAATAATGTTTTCTTTTTTACTTTTTATGGAAGATAATATGTTAGGTTTAATTATAATTAATTAGTTTCTATGTAGTACATAGAAAAAATGTCAGTGGGTAGTATTGTGTTTGTAGCATATAAGATAAGGTACCAATCAACTTATTAATTTAATTTTAATTATTCATTGAAAATAAAAAGAATATTAAATAATTTATAGTATATTTTAATTATATTATTTATAAACTAAAGTTTTGAAGTTTAAAATTATATGATTATTATTATAATATGTAATAATTTATTAAGCACATAAAATAATTAAATTCTTAAATTTTTTTTTATTATTTCAGAAATATACATGGTCTGATGTACAATGCATTAAAAATATTTACTGAAACTAATCCAGTACTATTTCATTCATGTACACAACAATTCAAAGAAGATAGGATGATGTATGTATATTAAGCTATTTAATAGTTAATAATTTTTTTTTTAACTAAATGGTATTATTTATGCTTTTAGTGAAGTGGAGAAGTTAAAAAAACGAGATGAAAAGTGGCATCGAGTAGAAGAATTGGCTAAAAGGAATCCCAATTTTACAGTATCAATTGATAATAGTTTGTCATTTTATACTGATTTTGCAAGGTCTCCGATGAACGATTTAGACCCGACTATTGATTTGAAAAATTTAGAAGAGGATACTAAGTATCATATTGATACTGATGTAATATTAATTTTATGATTAATATTTGCTTAAACTTAACAATTTTTATTTTTTTTTATAGAACCGTAAAAATCGAAAAGAAAAACCTTTATTGAGACGTAAATCTGAATTACCACATGACACATATACTTTGAGGGCATTAAATGATCATAAGAGAGCTGATGAATATCTAGCTACACCACCTGATGTTAATAAATGCTAGCTAATCTTTTCCATTGTGATGACCTTTATTATTTCTATACTCAGAGTCTAAACAACTAAGGTGAATTCATTATTTTTATTTAACAATTTTATTTTGTTAAGAAATGTTTGTCAAACACATAGTATGTGATTTGTTTATTTATGATAGCTTAAACTAGTGATATTTATTTAAAATAAATAATACACATAGTCTTATCATAAAGTAAGATGTATTAGTAAAATTGATTTCTGGAATATACCTGTTTTTAAACTTTAGTTCTGCAATTTATCAAGTTATACAATACTAAACAAATGCAGTATATTATTGTATTTGTTTTATTTATTTTATGTTCAATAAAGTACTAATGTACTTTTTAATTTTCAAAATAACCCAAAGAGCAATTTAATTATTTATTGATTGTGTAATGAACACTAATCAGATAAAAAAGTATTATTGTCAAATTTTACCAAATATTATGTTTTTTTTTTTCACAGGATTACTCAAAAAAAAAAAAAAATAAAAAAATATTATGGTAATTCATCTCATTAGGGGTCATTTAATGTTGAGTGTATCTTTGTTAGGATTAACATGTTATAAGTAGTTCAACCACTAAATTTTTCAAAATGTGAATGAAGAAAGTCATGTGAAGTGAACGCACTTTAATCTACTTCGGTTGTGTTATTTATTTTTAAAATAAACATAAAATGTGTCATTTATTTTTTTATTTAATTTACTACAATATATTAGTTTTAATTTTTGTTCCATGAAAGTTACATTTTTAAATGTTAAATGACATAAGACACAAAAATTAAGAAAGATTACATTCAAGAATAAGTTCAGGGATTTTTTAATTCTCTTGTTGGTTTATTATTATTATTATTATTATTATTATTATTATGATTATTACTATTATTATTTTATTTTTCCTTTTTTAACATATATTTTTTTTTTCATACAGATGTAATAAAACATATTTTGTACATAAAAAAAAGAAAAATGTGGCTACATTTTATTGCTATATTCATTTTTAGCATTTATGATATATTTAAACTAGTGTAATAACATACCAAAAATAAAAATTCTATATAATTAAAAAATATATTTTTGTTTGGAGCAGAATAAAAAGTAGATTTATATAATACATGCATAAATGAAACGCTAACTACAAAAGTTGACAAGTTCACATTTCCTTATTGATTAAAAAAGATAGTAAAAACTAAACAATGTATGAAATATTAACTTGAAAACTTCTACATTTTTGACTTATATTTAATTAAATCACTTGAAAATTTAATTTAATTTATTAAAAAAAAGTTTCATAATTTTTTTTTAATAAATATATTTTAAGTTGTAAACATGTCTTCTTTTTACAGAAAACATTATTATCATATCTTATTTATTGATATAGAGAGAGAAATATTATTATAAAATTTAAAATATATTATTCTTCAATTTTTATCAAATATAATTAATGTATTATTAAATACAAATTTAAAGTTATTTTTATGTTTTACATTTTTTTTTTTTTTAATCTACAACTTAAAATAATTGTTGTCATCATATTTTTAGTCAAACAAATCATTTTGTTATCTTTTTGAAGGCCATTCAATTATTGTTTTCTAAAATTCATAATACTCTTCAAGGATAAATTTTAACTTGTTTTTAATATCACCAAATTTTTTTTCAATGATTGACAATTTTTCTTGAACAATAAAATGGACTATACATTTTATAGTACATTAATTGGTTTCAATACAACTAAGATAAAGTAAATTAAAAATAATAATATACATAAACAGTTTATTACAGAAATGGGACATGTCATAGACTTGTCTCCTTTCTGTAGTAAACTGAAATTAGTGAACACTATATTTAGTGTTTGAAGTCAGATTTCACTTCTTTCTGCAGTAAATGATGTATTTGCATGTGTTTAATATAAAATGATGAAAAAACCAAAATTGATAAAAATGGACTTGTCATAGTTAGCGATTCACATACATAAAATAACATATTATATTTGATTTTTAAACATATATTTTTACTCAATATAATGTATTTGTGTAATACACTTATTAATTAATATTTTTGCTTGAGAAATAAGTTTTTTTCTGTTCTTGTATCAAAAAATGTTGATTATATTTAATATTTAATGTGTACTCATTTTAAGGGTAGACCCGTCAACAGGGATGAATTATTGTTTTTAACCACTTGAAATGTTATTATATTTATGTTGTACATTTTAATAAGATATTTATGTAAAACAAAATTATAATTATCAAGTAATACAAAATATAATAATATACAAATAAAAAAGGATTGTTTATTATAGGCAGGTAGGCCTTATTATGATATTATAATAATATATTTTTTTTTAACGTAAATTGTCCAATGTCTATACAAATCAAATTTACAAAATATTATGTATAGTGTTGATAATAAGCTTATACTTAATTCAGTAAATACATTTATGTATACATAATATTAAAAAATATACATGTGTTTATTCATATATAATATATTATACAATGTAAAATATGTGTTAAATAATTATTGAATTTTGTTTTATTCCAATTTTATTACATAATGAGGATTTCAAAAAAATATATGTTATAGTTTCATGTGTTTGTTATTATTTTATATCACCTAAATCATTCTTAAGATTTTGAACACACTTTCCTAAAAACAATATAAAATTTAATATTAAATTATTTTTATTAAAAAAATAGACGAGTAGGTAACATTCTTCTGTGTAATAGGTGTAGAGTTTATCTCATTATTAAGAAGTAAGTTACTATAATGTATCTGTATGTATTAAATTTTAATTCACTAATAAATCAATTAATATGATTTAGATATATGAAAACTATTCTGAGCGAAGACTGTCAGCCTATACTTTGTGATACATTTATATTACTAGGTATGCAATTAAAGTAGTTTATTTTATTAAAAGTAATATTTTATATTATAGCAGTTGTAATTAATTGTTGCCAAAAATTATATATTTAAAATTATTGTATGTATACAATATATTATATAATAATATATATTACAAGTTTCATGTTTGAATAATATTTTTAAATTACAACAAATTAACAGAAACCGTTATTTTAATTAGTTTAAATATCTAATATTGTCAAAATTTGAACAAATATCTACAAAAAATATCATGGTAATGGATTTTAAAGATTTTTTGGTTATAGTATGATCTACGATTGAGAATTCTCATGTTAATTTTTAAATACCTAGTTTTAATTATTTTCGAGAAATCTTGCAGTAAATTTGTTATACTAAAATATGGGACAAATTTCATGTACTTATTTCCAAAAATATCTACAACTTATATATATACCTAAATCTATAGGTACGGGCTATAACCTATAGACCAGCTTCGTCCGCCACAGCATTATCTATACTTACATAAGTAGGCATTGCGTCCACAATACTTATACTTGGTTATCCGTGGTTACTCAGTCGCGGATCCAGAGGGTGGCCCGGACCCACTCAAAATTTAAAATAAACAATAATTTTAATTTTGAATATTGGCATTTGAGTTGTTATTTTAAAAATTTTTCCATGTAATTGTATTTCAATATTTTTTTTCTTTTTTCTTTTTTTTACCTTTATTAGTATTGGACTATTCATTGAAATATTTATAATTAAATGAAAATTATTCTTAATTAAATCATAATTTAACTGTGCATATTATCTTTTGTAGTTAAATTTATAGGCTCGCCCAAAAAAATATTCCTGGATTCGCGTCTACAGTCACTGGACATAAAAAAAAAACATAATTCTAAAATCAATTAGGAAGATTTGTATTTTGTGAGTTATTTATACCATTATAGTAATAATTAATAATATTGTAATATTACCAATTATTTTTAAACTGCGTGTTACCTTAAGTTGAAATTTTTGCGATAAATTGTAAAAATAAAGACAGGAATTGATCATATGAAATAGTTGGATATCTAATGACTGAGGTCAATAAAAAATTCTGTTTGATAGAACTTTAGAATTTTCTTTTACTACCTATTATTGTACCGTATTTGAAGATCTTCTAATTTCCATAATTATTTTTTATTTAAACGATTTATAATCAAACATATATGTTTTATGTAATCAGTACATTTAATATATATATTTTTTTTAATATACTTATATAGCCATATAGATAGTGATTAATTAAATATTTTCAGTAAAAATAAATGTACATTTTGTAGCTTGTTGAAAAGAAATTATAATTTTAAAATAAAAATGTATTGAGGCCGTTTATCATTTAATTTTGAATGTATGATTCTATCTATATCCAAGATTTTAAGTGGGGACGGTGGAGTACATTTTCCGTTGCTGGTAGTCGACTTTAAGTGATCTAATTTGAAATAGGTAGCTCGTAAGAAATTAAGTTTAAAATCTATTATATTATGTCTCTGCATTATAATACGATTTGTGGAACATTACATTTTCAAATTATTAGAACTAGATTATGACATTGCTTATATAGGTATTTATTGACTGGTAAGAACCTTTTCCATGATTTTTTGAGAAAGTTGGTAAACCAAATTGATTAAATATTAAATTGTGTTTTATCATGCTTGTTTTTTTGGGAGTTGAACACATATTCATATAAATATGTAAAATGAAAATACAGTGAAAAGTTTATACTTGGTGAGAAATATCGATCAATGGTTGAAAATATGATCTCACTTATCAATACAAACGTTTTTTTTTACTAAAAAAATATTTTATATATTCTGGATGAGAGGTTACGTACTTATGTATCACTGTTGTTATTTGTTTTACCAAAATATAAAATTTAATAGACAATAAATTAATTTTGACTCAAATAAGTACTTATATAGACTTTAGAGTTAACGTCATGTATATGAAACGTCAGCTGCACAACACTACGTGGCTTACTATAAATTATAATATAAGTAATGCATAATAATAAATTTAATATTAATTAGTAGTTACCTACAAAAAAAAAATTAAAATAATGATCTTACGCAGATTATACTAAGACTAAGTGCTGTCTTAAATTTTATATATAATAGGTATTATGATACAATAAAAATGAGAATATTGATTAAAGCTTAGATCTTAGCGGCTTACGTGTAATCGGAGCTGTAGCGTCTATCAGTGATCTTGGCCATTTAACATATTTTTGCTTTTATAAATGTTTAATTTTCTTTTGCTAACAAACACACAACTTTTTACTCAGTTCAAAATAAGACATAGATGTTTGTATGTTACGTAATTCAATTTTTTTTAAATTTATTAACAAACTAATGTTTTTACATGATTTGATTTCAAATTTAATCGGTAAAAAATAAAAACCAATTGATAGACGATAGTTATAGCGGTTTCTTAAATAAAATACATTTTTTGTTAAATTTTTGCTTAGTGACAATAGTAAGCATCATTAGTCACTAGAATTTCTTCTGGAACTTACTTTCATGAATTTATAAAATATAAATTATTGAATATTAAAAAATTAATATATTGATCAGAGTTGAATTTTGATTTTTTGAATCCTATTTTTAATTTTAACATGGATCTTGTATTTAATAATAATAATGTAAATCAATTATTAAAACTATTACCTACTATTACCGCAGTATATTTTATAACGTAAGCATTTTGCAACGTTTGTTTACTAAATATATGCTTATATTGTGTATTATTTACCTTATGGTTAATTTATCTTGAATAGCCT